GTCTAACACAATAACAGTATACTCAAATGAAAAAAATAGTTTAAATTTACACAGTTCATGTGCTGGAAAAAGAAAATGATAACACATTAGATTATAATAACGTTATATTTGGGGGTAAAATCAAAATGAGTCAAAAATGATCATATGGAAGTCTGAGGGTCAATGCCTGCGAGCTAACTCTGCTTTGCTATCTTAATAACTTTACTAATTCCTCAACATTACATCCTTAGATTTTGTACAGTGCTCTGAAATAATGTTTGTTGTATCCGCCGCCATCATCTGCCTCCACCATCGGCCTCCAGCAGCTCTGTTGTCCTCCACCCATATTTTCAGTTCCAGGCTGAGTCATTTCTACCTTCTCCTCTCTGTCAACGCTCTCTGGTTTCATTTAAAAGAGTCGATCATCAGATATTGTCCAAAATTAACCTTCAGGGTGGATATAGCTCGCTCACACCAAGGACCTATTCACGTCATCATTTACCCAGAATGCTTTGCGTGTAAATAAAATGGCTTCATCTATGTTAATATATATTTTAAACAATTTACAAATCTAAGCAGTCTACAGTATTTTTAGTCTTTATTTTACAGTTAAAATAAATGTTTATCAAATAAAGTCTAATGTTACAACTAATCAGGCATCCCTTTAATGATACCTTTTATGTACACATTTATGTTGATTGGTTATTTAAAAAAATACAATCGCTACAAGTATGTAAAACCCGACAGCATGTGACAGAAAGTATTAATCGTGCTTCTGGAAACATTGGAATAAGTCTCTCTTTGTGCCATAAAAAGTGTAGCTTTTATGTAATGTACAGTTTGAATTGTTATTTTGTTTTTTAAGGATGAATCATCAAGACTCAGATGCAAAATGACTTCAGCATTTAGTTTGATTGAAACATTTTACTTTATAAAAGGTTCACATGATAATCCAAGGTGAAAWTGCTTGTGTTTACTCATTTAATCTAATGAAAGTTTTTTCATTTCTCTCAAGAAGCTTGTTAATAAAAGCGACATGTCATGATCCCGGTGGACCGTGTTATTCTTGAAGTGCTAACTGGTAGTTTTTACACTTCTGAACTGTCAAACCCGTTTGCGTAATCTTTATTGTGCAGCAACTTGTCAGACAGGTTATGTTGTTGACAGGTTATGACTTATTCTTTCGAGCAAGATAAATTAGTTGACACAGTTAGTGGCCGGATGTGGCCTGTGGCTTAAAAAGATTATAACTTGAGATTACAGTTTTTATTGACTGGTTTGACCTGTTTGAAGGAACTGGGAACCTCTCAGTCTTCATCATCACCATCTCAGCAGAGCAGAAAACACCTCTTGCAATGTGTTAACCCATTCTCATTGGATTGACACAGTTTTCCACCCTTTTGCAAAACAGTTAACGCAGATGTCATTCAAGAAGTCCAAATTCCCTTTTAGCTGTCAGTATGAAACACCGAAAGCACCTGTTTGACACTTCTTCACAGAATTTTTCAATTTGCAGTCAGTCTGCAGGTCTGTGTTGTTCTCTTGTACTCTTATAGTAATGTTATGTTTCTTTTTGTTTTTCCCTCATCTGTCCTTGTGTGGTTTTTAGTTTTTTTAGGAGGGTTGCACCTCCTCATGATGTCTTTTATGAAAATGATCCTTGCTCTGTGCAGGGTCAGTGGGAGCATGACCCAGAGCACCTGTTCTCCTATGTTTATGTTCCGTCTTCTTCTGAATGGGTGTTCTTAACTGTAATTTCATTGTTCTCTGTACGATGACAATAAAGGTCTAATCTAAACGTCTACTATAGATGTTTGTTCTTTACTGTAAAAKACTGTTTTTTTTACCTAATTTCTCACACAGTAAAGGATTTTATTTTTATTTCCATGTATTCTCTGTTGGAATACAGTTTTTATTGATTGTTTTTGAGATGGTGATGAGTTTCTTCGAACAGGTCAAAGCAATCAGTAAAAACTTTCATTTGTCAGGCACAGTCTGAAAAAATAATGTAATCAATAAAATTTACATCAAACCATATCTGCTTCTGGATGCATTTTTGCAAGAGGGCAAATTTGACTACAAACAGCACTGGCATGTAAGCTACGTACAGTCATAGGCTACAATGACAAGCAATGGTGCACTGATTCACACGAGTGCTGTATTTTGTATTTTGGTGCCTATTGTGTACTGATTGTTTGGAGGTGCTCATACACTGTGTCAAAGTTTGAGTTGTTTGAAGGCAAAGTTTGCTTTTGCTCCATATTTTAAATGTTTTGACACAGTTTTTGCCTTTTGCAAACAAAATGTGTCATTTTGACCACTGTGTCAATGTCTAGGCCTCTGCATTAACTGTTTTGAAAATGTGGTTTTTGAGTTGACGGCTGCATCAAACCAGTCAATAAAAACTGTAATACTTTTATTTAAACAGATTTGTGTGAAATAATAATAGTGTTTGCAGGTTTATAGCAAATAATTTGACCTTATATCTTATTCTGTTTATTAGTTTTATATTCTCTGGTCAATCACTCCTTTATTGTGGGGCTTTCAGTTAATGCACTTCTATATCTTACTGGTCAATCAGATCAGGATAAAATGCTTTTGTCTCATTAAAAGATTGGCAAAAGATGGCTTAGCTTGTCAGATTATAACATTGATTTTTTTTTYCATATGGGATGACATTCCTCAAAACATAAARTTCATTTCAAAACTACAGCCCTTTAAGAAGAATCTTGTCTGCCATCTGCTGGACACTTTTTGTTGTGCTCATATTTAGACGTCCTATTTTGCAGATGCTGCCTTCCTGAAATTTGGTATGCTTGTTTGTCTTTGTGTCTATGGTGTATAATGATGTGATTGTGATGCTGTATTTCTGAGTGTTTTATGTGCTGCAGAACAGGAACCTGCTGTAAAACAGCAATTATGCTGAGTCAGGCTTGATTTTTTGTAATCTTTTCCTGTTAAATCAAATCAAATCAAATCAAATGAATATCTGCCCAGACAACAAAACACACCAAGRCCTTTTTAAGTTGTTTCTAAACACAAAAGAAAGAAAATCATTACATGCATCTCACAACTTCTGATTGGAGCAGATAGTAAATGACAGTTTTACTGATAATAAAGCTGTTTTTAGCTTGTTAAAATTTATAAGTCTTTTCTGTTTCAGGTGCCTGTAGATGACGCCGTGGGTTTGCTAACTGAGCCCCAGGTGGCCATGTTCTGCGGGAAGCTCAACATGCACATCAATGTTCAGACTGGGAAATGGGAGTCAGATCCCCTCGGCACCAAAAGCTGCATTGGCACCAAAGAGGGCATCCTGCAATACTGCCAGGAGGTATTACAACAGAGGGAGACACAGAATTAGAAAYGMGCTGACAGGCAAAGCAGTGAAATGTCTTTGTTTAAATCTCAGGTGTACCCAGAGCTACAGATCACTAATGTAGTAGAGGCCAACCAACCCACCAGCATTCCAAACTGGTGCAAGGCACGCCAGAAGCAGTGCCCCAGTCACACACACATCGTGGTGCCGTACCGCTGTCTGGGTAAGGCAGTGTGCAAATGAGTGTGTTTGTGGAAGGATGAGGTCTGAATGGATGAACKTGAAGAATAAAATCCTGTYTTGTGTGTTCAGTTGGAGAGTTTGTGAGTGACGCCCTGCTCGTTCCTGACAAGTGTAAGTTTCTGCACCAGGAGAGGATGGATCAGTGTGAGAGCCACCTGCACTGGCACACCGTGGCCAAAGAGGTGAAACAAAGACTCTGTCAGCCTGTGTTACTGTATTCAGACTTTATTCCTCCTGATTGCTCTTGTTAAATGACTCRGAACTCATTATCTATGTGTATTTTTATGGTACCATTACAGCTTATGTAAACTGCTWCGGTTAGTGTTCTTTTTATTCTTGTTCCTTCAGTTCAGTCGTTTCACAAAAACATTTTCTGCTGTGTATAAATCATTTAACAGATGCTGGAAAAAAAGTTACATATCAGACTAAAGGCTTCACCTCAATGAGATATATATAGTTTATTCATTTCATAAAAAAACAACACAAAACACATTACATACAACAAAACAATGCAAA